TCTAATGTCTTTGGAGAGGGTGTTCCAAAGTCGGGGGGCAACCACAGAGAAGGCCCTGTCCCTCGTCCCCACAAAACGAGCCTGCGACGCAGGTGGAATCGTGAGCAGGGCCTCTCCAGATGAACGGAGGGAGCGCGTGGGTTCATAAGCGGAGATGCGGTCATGCAGGTAGGCAGGTCCCAAACCGTTTAGGACTTTGTAGGTAAGCACCTGCACCTTGAATTGGGCTTGGTAGGTAAATGGCAGCCAATGGAGCTCCTTAAACAGGAGGGTTGACCTCTCTCTGTAAGGGGTGCCAGTTAACATCCTGGCCGCCACCCGTTGAACCAGTTGGAATTTCCGAGCCGTTTTCAAGGGCAGCCCCACGTAGAACACATTACAGTAATCCAATATAGAGGTGACCAAGGCATGGACCACCCCGGCTAAATCAGCCTTTGCTTAATACCCTTTGGAATGCATGAAAGCATTCCTTTGGCCTCTGACCTCCTTCTTGTTGGCTATTCTCACACTCCTTCGAACTCTGAATTCCAAACGGTCAGCCCGATCTAGGATTCCCGTTTCATCAAGGTCAGGCTGCTCGTTAGTGTCCGCCTGGTTGCCTTCATGCCTACTCTCAAGCTGAGAACTGCCCTCCTTTTCTGAGTCAATCTGCACCTGGCTAGTTTCAGTATCAAAACATCCTTCCCTGCTGTGGGAAACTGAACTTGCACGCCCTGTTCCTCATTGTCTACAACAGGAACATTTTGAACCTGATTGTGAACCTGAATCCCATCATCCTCGTCAGAGTCACTCTGAGACCCCATCTGAGTCACAACACTATCAGTCTGTGTCTCCAGCTGAGTCACAACACTGCAAAATGTTACAACAAGGCTTGTGATGGGGGGATCCTCCAGCCAAACAGATGCTTTGGACTTGGCCTCCCTGATGATCAAAGGCAACAGGGAACTTATGTGGGAGCTAAAGCCCCCAAAGCCTGAAGGACCAAGGGATAAGCATTAGAATACAGCAACAGCTATACTTAAGGTCTCCCGGCCCATGCTTACGGGTCCCATGTGTCTGATTTCTCACCGCTGTTGTTCCTATTCTCAGCGCCCACCTGGAATTAATGGTCCCATGAGTGATTTCTCACCACTGTTGTTCTGTTGTTCCTATTCTCAGCATCCACCTGGAAGGCCAAGTCATACCTCGGACTGAGCCGGAACAGTGAACTGGGACGGCATGTTGATATCAGGCACTTTGCAGTCGGTGTTAAAGGTCACGGGAGAACTGAGCGGGTTTTCCACCTTCAGGGAGGAGGAGACGAGTTGCCGGACGGGAGTGGTCAGTTCGATGGTGCCAAGGGGGCCGCAGGGGGTGGCCTTGAAGGTCACCAAGTAGAAGAGGAATTCCTGGGTCGACTCGTTGCGGAAGGTCACCTGCAGGAAGGCAGACACAAGAGTTGGGAGAGTTGGGTGAGATCCAAGAGCGGTGGCTTCTGATGCATCCGCGGAAGAGCACGAGGGAACCCTCACCTTGGCGCTGAACATGCCTTCCCGGTAAGAGAAGAAGGTGAGCTTGTGGTCCTTCTTGGCCGAGGCTGGCACTTCCAAGTAGTCCAGCGTTTTCAGGGTGGTGGTGACCTCCAGCCTTTCCGGTTTCAGCATGTCGACTGTTACGCGGAACCTGGCAAAGGAAGGAGAGGGAATACCCAATTCCCATGGATAAAGCACGGGGAGGAAAAGATAGGCAAGAATATTGGTGATGATGATAATCTATATAAATAAAAATGTAATGTTAGTTTGTGGGATTAACAGAACTCAAAAACCACTGGACGAATTGACACCAAATTTGGACACTATACCCCTAACAGACCAACGAGTGACCAACACTCATAACCAACCCCCACCCCCCAAAAAACAACGGAAAGGACTTAAAAACAACAAAAAGGTGAAAGGATGAAAAGTTAAATGAGGATACAGGAAAAAAGGGAAGGAAGAGGGTGGGAAAGAAGGAAGGAAGGAAGGGAGGGGAGAAAGGAAGAAGGAAGAAAGACGGAGAGAAAGAAAGAAGGAAAGAGAGAGGAAGAGGAAGAAAGAGAGGAAGGAAGGAGAGAAGGAAAGAAAAAGAGAAGGAAGGAAAGAGGGGCGAAGGAAGAGAGAAAGGGAGGGAAGGAAAGAAGGAAAGAAAGAGGGAGAGAGAAGAAAAGAAAAAGAAGGAAAGAGTATACAGTAAAAAAAAGAAGGGGGGAGGAAAGAAGGAAAGAGACAAGGAAGGATGGAACCAAAGAGCAAAGAAAGTGAGGAGAAGAGAAAGAAGAGAAAGAAAAGAGAAGAAAAAGAGAAAGGAAGGAGAGAAAGAGGGAGGGAAGTAAAGAAAGAAGGACAGATGGAAGCAAAAAGCAAAATTGGAAGGAAAGAAGTAGAGAAGAAAGAAACGAGAGAAAAAGGGGGAAAAGGAAAGAGGTAGAGAAGGAAGGAAGGAAAGAAGGAGAGAAAGAGGAGTGAAGGTTGGCCACAGCAACATGTGGCGGGTTCAGCTAGTAGTTATTATTATTATTATTATTATTATTATTATTATTATTATTATTATTACCCTGCTTTTTCTCCCCATGGGGACTTAAGGCGGCTAACAATCCCACACTTAGAAGACACTCCATTCTCCCTTTCTCTCTCTTATTGATTGATTGATTTTAACCAAAACAGTATGTTTCACAACTGAAGAGGAAGGAAACTCACTTTGGGTTGTTATGGGCTTTTTGGGCTGTTCTAGAAGTATTCTCTCCTGACGTTTCGCCTGCATCTATGGCAGGCATCTTCAGAAAATGGCTTTTGACTACGGTATAGACTCTTGATCCCTGGACTTTGTTTATTGAACTCTCAGCGTTTGACCACAGGACTGGACCCTTTGACTACAGTGTAGCTTTTGCTATCAGTTTTTGTTTATTCTGTGGCTGAGTGCTATCTTTATGTTTTATTTATTATTTATTTATTTACTTCATTTGTATACCGCCATTCTCAGCCCTAAGGCGACTCATAGCGGTTACAACAAGCAAAAACAAGGCGAACAATCAAGGCAAAAATTCAATGCGGCATCAACAAGGTACTTAAAAACAGTTAACACAGAAACAAATTAAACTATTTAACAGTATCTTTTATCTTTTGGTCTATTGAAACAGCCAGCAAGTAAGTGCTGTTTTAATTAAACTGTTTGATAAAACTGGGAGTTTGGTTCATCTCTGCCTAAATAAGGTAGAGCCCTGGCAACGTGACAGTCCCCCTTTGGGGGGAGAAGGGTGGCGTATTATTGGTCTATTGAAACAGCCAGCAAGTAAGTGCTGTTTTAATTAAACTGTTTGATAAAACTGGGAGTTTGGTTCATCTCTGCCTAAATAAGGTAGAGCCCTGGCAACGTGACAGTCCCCCTTTGGGGGGAGAAGGGTGGCGTATTATTGGTCTATTGAAACAGCCAGCAAGTAAGTGCTGTTTTAATTAAACTGTTTGATAAAACTGGGAGTTTGGTTCATCTCTGCCTAAATAAGGTAGAGCCCTGGCAACGTGACAGTCTCCCTTTGGGGGGAGAAGGGTGGCGTATTATTGGTCTATTGAAACAGCCAGCAAGTAAGTGCTGTTTTAATTAAACTGTTTGATAAAACTGGGAGTTTGGTTCATCTCTGCCTAAATAAGGTAGAGCCCTGGCAACGTGACAGTCTCCCTTTGGGGGGAGAAGGGTGGCGTATTATTGGTCTATTGAAACAGCCAGCAAGTAAGTGCTGTTTTAATTAAACTGTTTGATAAAACTGGGAGTTTGGTTCATCTCCGTCTAAATAAGGCAGAGCCCTGGCAACTTGACCAATGACCAGGGCAGTTGGAGTGGAGGGGGAGGAAGGAGGGCTGCCCACTCCCTCCAGTCTAGGGCCCTTCTTCTTGTTCTTACCTTTGCGGCTTGCTCAGCCAGTTGGAGACGGGGAGCAATTCCGTGTAGGACGTTTTGCACGGGACTTCTCTCATGATGTTCCCAGCGGATTTAGGCGGTTCGGTCGTGCCTTGCAAGTTGTAGAGCAGCCCCGTCCCATCAGGGAGCGGGAAGAAGATGGAGCCCTGCCAAAGGGAGGACGGGTTGTTAGAGCCGGCCTCACGTCGCTTGTCCCGCTGGACTTGGTGCCGTTCTCTGTCCTCCCATGAACTACAGTGGACCATGTCATGGAAATAAATCTATTCTTGTGTTGCTTTAAGAGTTCCGGAAAGCAGATGCAACAAAGAGAGTGAAATTCTTTCCTGCCACAACTTCTTCACCTGGGTGTGCATGCTTACTCCAAGCACTTGGATTCCTTTCGTTGGGATGCTTTCCTAGAACAAGTCTACCAGTCCCAGAATATCAAACTAAGGATGGGAATAGAAGGGGCCCAGATCTGGAAAATCTCCCAAAGTAGACCTGTTATGAGGATTTCGTTCATTTTTAGACTTTATTTGGAGGATTAACTTGGATGATAGTTCATTGATGGGACTCCCTTGAAGTCTCATTGATGTGATTTGGTCAGACTTTGCATTTTATCCCTTGACTGCTTTTGCTACAAGGTCCCAAGGACAAAGCTTTGTGGAAAGAGCTCCCAAGCCCCTTTCCCTGGCAGATCCCTTGCATTTCTGGGATCCCCCCCCCCCCCAATGACACAGATACAGAAACACACCTGCATCTCCACCATGTTTCCTCTCACCTGGCTTCTGCCGGCCTACCTGATCCTTCTTGTTCTCGGCGTTCATGGCCAGGGGCCTGTAGGTGATCTCATAGGGCTTGTTCTGCTGGTGGGCTTCCACCCGAATGAACTCGGGCCCCTTCCACTGCTCTCCCTCGATGATGGGATGCAGGGTCCATGGCTGGTTGGTCTTGTTGGAAAGCATGATGGTCTGCGTGTGCTTTCCCCGCACCTGGCAGATGAAGTGCACCACCTGCAAGCAAAGAGACCCTCGGTTGATCTACAGAAAGAGTGGGGAGTGCAATCCTGCCTCAGGACAGTTGTCATTCAGGGGTGGAGGGTGGGCTCTCCCCCGAACCTTCGTTGGAAATTGGGTGAGACACTGCTCAAAATGGTGGGAAGAAACACTGTCTAGATCAGACTGGAGAGTGAAGATGGAGGGAAATGGAAAAAACTTTATGGCCAGGTCTGGAAACATAAAATTTTGGGATATTTGCTTGTAACTGTTAAAACTGTAGGCTACAAAGAGGGAGAAAAAATGTTAAAAACCAACAAAAAAGAAGCTGGAAATCCATGAGCCAACAATGTGATATGGTGGCAAAAAAAGCCAATGGGATGTTGGTCTGCATCAATAGGAGTCTAGTGTCTAGGTCCAGGGAAGTCATGCTCCCCATGCTCTATTCTGCCTTGGTTAGACCACGTTACCTGGAATATTGTGTCCAATTCTGGGCACCACAATTGAAGAGAGATATTGACACGCTGGAATGTGTCCAGAGGAGGGCGACTCAAATGATCAAGGGTCTGGAGAACAAGCCCCATGAGGAGTGGCTTAAAGAGCTGGGTATGTTTAGCCTGAAGAAGAGAAGGCTGAAAGGAGACATGATGAGGGCCATGGATAAATACGTGAGAGGAAGTTCTAGGGAGGAGGGAGCAAGCTTCCTTTCTGCTGCCCCGAAGACTAGGATGCAATGGAGCAATGGCTTCAAGCTACAAGAACGAAAGGAGATTCCACCTGAACATTAGTGTAGCAGCATGAGAGGAGAGATAACATCAAGAGAGATCCTTTCTGGAGAAAGAAAAGTCCGGCTTTATTTCCAGCTGGGACCCTGGAGTGGAGCTGTGTCCAAAAGCAACCAGAGCGAGGATAAAGGCGTTGACTGTGCCTTTTCTACCTCTACAAATGCAGGCAAACAAAGAAACATGCTTCTACATATGAAACGTCATCACTGCGTCACTTTAAGCATCATAGTAATGTCAAATTCTATCTTCCAACATACAAAAAGCATGTCTCTATATTTTTTCAGAGAGTAGCATACACCCTGACACCACTCTGATGGCCGAAAGCGAGGAGGAACTGAGGAGCCTTCTAATCAAGGTGAAAGAAGAAAGCGCAAAAGCTGGGTTGCAGCTAAACATAAAAAAAACAAGATTATGGCAACAAGAATGATTGACAACTGGAAATAGAGGGAGAAAACGTGGAGGCCATGACAGACTTTGTATTTCTAGGTGCAAAGATTACTGCAGATGCAGACTGTGGCCAGGAAATCAGAAGACGCTTACTTCTTGGGAGGAGAGCAATGTCCAATCTCGATAAAATAGTAAAGAGTAGAGACATCAGACTGGCAACAAAGATCCGCCTAGTCAAAGCCATGGTATTCCCTGTAGTCACCTACGGATGTGAGAGCTGGACCTTAGGGAAGGCTGAGCGAAGGAAGAGAGATGCTTTTGAGCTGTGGTGTTGGAGGAAAGTGCTGAGAGTGCCTTGGACTGCGAGAAGATCCAACCAGTCCATCCTCCAGGAAAGAAAGCCCGGCTGCTCACTGGAGGGAAAGATACTAGAGACAAAGTTGAAGTACTTTGGCCACATCATGAGGAGACAGGAAAGCCTAGAGAAGACAATTATGCTGGGGAAAGTGGAAGGCAAAAGGAAGAGGGGCCGACCAAGGGCAAGATGGATGGATGTCATACTTGAAGTGACTGGACTGACCTTGAGGGAGCTGGGGGTGGTAACGGCCGACAGGGAGCTCTGGCGTGGGCTTGTCCATGAGGTCACGAAGAGTCGGAGACGACTGAACGAATGAACAACAACAACAGCATACAGCTTATACCTTGCATTCCTCAATCAAGGGTCCTACTTTGACCGGTCAGGAGGGAGCGGGATAGGCTCCTGACTTAGAAGGAAGATGCTATATTGCACCAGTCTCTGTGGAATGTATAGATAACAGGTCCCCCTTCTCCTCACCCTTTTAACAGTCCTTCTCTGTCCTGCTGGCTTTCTTACACAGAGAGAACCTGATTTTTCTATACATTTTAGTTCATACAATTTATGCATAAATAAATATCTATTTTTCCAATATCTACCCATCATTAGGAAGAACCTAACTGTGAGAACTGTTCAGCAGTGGAACTCTCTGCCCCAGAGTGTGGTGGAGGCTCCTTTTTTTTTTTTGGAGGCTTTTAAACAGAGGCTGGATGGCCATCTGTCGGGGGTGCTTTGAATGTGATTTTCCTGCTTCTTGGCAGAATGGGGTTGGACTCAATGATAGCCCACGAGGTCTCTTCCAACTCTATGATTTTATGATTCTATGTTTACAATTAATTTATGCATATGATGGAAGTTTTAGAGTTATAGGTAAAGTAGAAATGTATGTTTGTTAGGTAATTGCCATGTAAGTCTGTGTTTACGTATTCATAAGTATGGTCAGCTTTCTATTTGCATGTTCCTTGTTGTCAAAAAATTTCATTATAAACATTGGGGGGAAATGTTTGGATACCAAGACAGCTTAGCATCCCGGTTCCCTGTTTCCTCCCAAACATCAGAACTTCCCTTTCCAAGCCCAAAACAGGCAAAGAGCGATATAAGGTCATTCCTGGCTTGCTGAGCATGCAGAAACATGGCCCACCAGGAGAGCTCCCTGGATGCACCGCTTCCCGTTCCCCGTTCCAAGCAAATGGTTGGAGTTCAGCCTGTGATTGTGTCTAGTGATCAGGGTACTCTGGATGTTGGGAGTGACAATGAGGTTCATGTATCTAATGATGGTTCTAATGATGAGGTTGCTCTAGATCAGTGGTTCTCAACCTTTCTAATTCCGTGTCCCCTAAATGAAGTTCCTCGTGTTGTGGTGACCCCCAACCATATTTTCGTTGCTATTTCAAAGCAGTAATTTTGCTATACTTATGAATCATAATGGAAACATGTGATATGCAGGGTGTATTTTGGACCCAATTTGGCACAAATACTCAATATGCCCAAATTTGAGCAAAAAATACTGAAGGCCTTTAGGGGAAATTTACCTTGATTTGAAGTTGTAGTTGAACTCCATCCAGAGAGCACTGAGAACCCAAACACAAACGGATCTGGACCGTGCTCGGCAGGGGGTGAGGGCTTGGTGGCAAAGGCTCCCCAGACTGCCAGGCCATGTGGAGCCCTCCTCCCAGTTCTGTCCCTCTTAAGCTCGGCAGGGGGTGAGTGCCAGGCAGTCATGGTACTCCATGGATGGCCAGGCCATGCTGGGAGCCGTCCGATCAGGGGACGAGAGCCAAGCAGAAAAGGCTCCTCAACAGCAAGGCTGTGCGGGCAGCCCTCCGCCTGGCCCACGCGCCCCTCCGAGTTCGGAAAGACACGTGGACCGGGTGGAAAGGTGGCCTGCATGGCAGCCATTTTGGAGGGGGCGGGGCCAACCAAGGCAGCTTCGCGACCCCCCCCAATGGCCTAACGACCCCCCAGGGGGTCGCGACCCCCAGGTTGAGAACCGCTGCTCTAGATGAAGAGAATGACAATGGGATTCCTGTTCAAAGTGACTTTTCTGATGAGAATGTTCCTGAAGGGTTTGGGGATGATGGGATGGTCCCTGGAAGAGGGCCTGAATTGCTACCAGAGAATTCCCATGATTTGGAGCCTGAGAATAGCTCGGCACTTGGGCCAGCTGCAGAAATTAATGAGCCAGTATGTAGGAGAAATGCTTTCAGTCAGCACAGACAAACAAACCAATCTCTCAGGCGTTCTGCCAGACTGAGAGAGAGAGTGATAACAGAGTCAAGGCTGAAACTAAATCCGTTCCTGGCTGCTTGGGATATGACAATAATAATAATAATAATAATAATAATAATAATAATAATAATAATAAATATATAAAACTTTATTTATATACCGCTCTATCTACCCGAGGGGACTCAGAGCGGTTCCCAGGTAAAAATCACAGAAGTACAAAGTAAAAACAACATAACCATAAGATTAACAAAACAAAATATAAGCATAAAAATTGTCACCATAACATACATATATTAAAAGTAATCCTGCCTGTTCAAGGCAATTAAAAAATGTAAAAGGCCGGGCCAAGATTTGTGCAAGCCCAAAAATTCTAGGGGACCCAGGAATTAAGTGCAATGCTATGGCAGGCAACAATAATGTTATGTACGGGTCTGTGGCTGTTCATTCCGGGGCCGACTAGAGGAAGTGATCTGGGTAATTGGTAGGAAGAATGTGGCCGTATTTGACAATGTATAGGGCTGAGTTAGAACTGGCCATTTTCAAAGACTTGTTGAAACCACCAGGTCTTCAAGATCTTATGAAAGGAGGGGAGGGATGGGGCCTGTCTTATTTCCCTTGGAATGGAAATATAGAGTAGATTAGGGGATAAAAGTGTCAAGTACAGAATCTGTAGCCAGACGAAGCAATGTTGGAATTAAGTCAAGACTTCTCAGATCCCTGGAAGTCTTGCCTTGGATAGATCTATGTACTAAGTGCCTTGTTTAATTCAAGTTTTTGGGGTTTTACCTTGGAAGTTTCAGTATTTGTTTTTCATGAACTCTGATGGACTAATTTCCTGGACTATTTGGTTCTACTTATCTTTCTAACTAATTGGATATACCTATTTTTATGGAGTTCTTTTTACTGCAACTGTTTTTAAAATCTCTTCAATAAACTGTTTGCATTTCTGCTCAGCTGTGTGGTGCTTAAAGTCAGAGGGATTTCCTGGCCTAGAATGCAACACAAATCACCTCCTTAACGGGGGGCACCCCCACACAGCAGCCGCTCAGGGTGAGCCTCAGGGGCTCCCCGCCTTGGATGTGGCATGGCAGGTTCTCGTAGCAGATGTCCGGGCTGTGCTCGCAGGGGTGGAAGGTCACTTCGAAGGAGACGTCCATCCCTGGCGAGATGTAGCCCTCCAGGGGCCGGATGGAGAAGTCGGGCTTGAAGCGCTTGGCCTCCCACTTGAACCTTCCAAGGCAAAGGACAAGAGGGCGTTAGGTAGAAAGGGCACCGCATTTCTAATCATAGAAAAAAATAACATTGGATGAACATGGGTACGATTGTGAATGTCATGATACAATATTTAAGGGGGTGTGGTCATCACTGAGTCATAACTATGTGACTGTTATTGCATTGTCCCTTACTGACGATCTGTCTTCAGGTGCCTATACAAGGAGGTTGAAAGAATCCATCTTTCTCTCTCCTGTGTGACTCGGTGTGAGTATCTGCCTGTTTACAGGATATGACTATTTGACGGCTCTGATTGTTTCCAAGTTTGTTGCAGAAACATATACATTACCAGGTATTCATTAGGGTATCTTTGGAGAAGGAAGAAGATTGAGAAACAGCTTGGCAGCGTTCCAGGTGTTTATTTCATATTCCGGAACATGGGTGTTCAGCTCCCAAGGGCTAACACAACCTGACGTCGCATTTGTCCAGCTTTTATAGCATGAAATTGCTAGTTTTACACATGCGTAGAACAACTCTGACATTTACACAATACAATCATTAACAGGAATTGTCATATGTAGTTGCCAAGGACATCTTTCTGGCAAGACCATCATGACCCCAAACATCTGCTCAATTATATAACTTTTTAACTTTACCCCTTACCCCAGACGACATGTTCAATTGTTCTTAATTCTTAGATCTCTTAAATGAACTATAACTTTATATATGTTTTTAACATAAAAGTTGATCAAGGCAATCTCCTCATCAATTCTGTCATAATTACTCTGTTAATAACTTAGTTCCCCAGGAATTTGCTTTTAAATGAAACGTTTCTGAAATTACCTGTTATTTACATCAAATAGTCAGGAGATGGCGCTCTCCCACCATATGGCGCTCTCTCACCATATGACCTTAGAAAGTGGACCTGTTTTGTATATATCGCAACTGTGAAGATTTAAACCTCTAAATATTGTGTTGTCAAAGGCTTCCATGGTCGGAATCACTGGGTTGCTGTAAGTTTTTCGGGCTGTATGGCCATGTTCTAGAAGCATTCTCTCCTGACATTTTGCCTGCATCTATGGCAGGCATCCTCAGAGGTTGTGAGGTCAGATTGTCTCAATTTCTAAGCCAAAGAGCTGGCATTGTCCATAGATGCCTCCAAGGTCATGTCGCCAGCATGACTGCATGGAGCGCCGTTAAAGGTCCCCACAATTGATGGCTTCAAACTACAAGAAAGGAGATTCCATCTGAACATGAGGAAGAACTTCCTGACTGTGAGAGCCGTTCAGCAGTGGAACTCTCTGCCCCGAGTGTGGTGGAGGCTGCTTCTTTGGAAGCTTTTAAACAGAGGCTGGATGGCCATCTGTCAGGGGTGATTTGAATGCAATATTCCTGCTTCTTGGCAAGAATGGGGCTGGACTGGATGATGGCCCATGAGGTCTCTTCCAACTCTATGATTCTATGATTCTATGATTTCCATGTTTTCAAACTGCTAGGTTGGCAGAAGCTGGGGCTAACAGTGGGAGCTCACCCCACTTTCCTGTGACCTTTCAATGAACAAGTTCAGCAGCTCAGCAGTTTAACCCACTACGCCACCAGGAGCAGGCGGTACAGGGTGACAAAGACAAGGACAATTGTCGAAGGCTTTCATGGCCGAATCACTGGGTTGTTGTAGGTTTTTTCGGGCTATATGGCCATGGTCTAGAGGCATTCTCTCCTGACGTTTCGCCTGCATCTATGGCAAGCATCCTCAGAGGTAGTGGGGTCTGTTGGAACTAGGAAAAGAGGCTAATGATTAGTATGCTAATCAAGGTGGTCAGTTGAAACATTCACACCTAGCTCCAGCAGACAAGAGTCCTTTGTCCCATCCTGGTCATTCCACAGATATATAAACCCTTTTTCCTAGTTCCAACAGACCTCACTACCTCTGAGGATGCTTGCCATAGATGCAGGCGAAACGTCAGGAGAGAATGCCTCTAGAACATGGCCATACAGCCCGAAAAAACCTACAACAACCCATTGATTCCGGCCATGAAAGCCTTCAACAATACATTATTATTATTATTATTATTATTATTATTATTATTATTATTTATATATCTGTGGACATCTAATCACCTCTCAACAAAAGATTACCCCAGGCACTGCCAGGCCATCAAATGCTAATCAAGGTGGTCAGTTGAAACATTCACACCTAGCTCCAGCAGACAAGAGTCCTTTGTCCCACCCTGGTCATTCCACAGATATATAAACCCCTTTTTCCTAGTTCCAACAGACCTCACTACCTCTGAGGATGCTTGCCATAGATGCAGGCAAAATGTCAGGAGAGAATGCCTCTAAACCATGGCCATACAGCCTGAAAAAACCTACAACAACTCAGTGATTCCGTGCATGAAAGCCTTCTCAACAAAAGTTTGCCCCAGGCACAGTCAGGCCATTATATGCTAATCAAGGTGGTCAGTTGAAACATTCACACCTAGATCCAACAGACAAAAGTCCTTTGTCCCACCCTGGTCATTCCACAGATATATAAACCCCTTTTTCCTAGTTCTGACAGACCTCACTACCTCTGAGGATGCTTGCCATAGATGCAGGCAAAACGTCAGGAGAGAATGCCTCTAAGCCATGGCCATACAGCCCGAAAAAACCTACAACAACCCAGACTGAAGGATCCTACAGCTGTGGCTATGTTGAAACATTCACACCTAGCTCCAGCAGACAAGAGTCCTTTGTCCCACCCTGGTCATTCCACAGATATATAAACCCACTTTCCTGGTTCCGACAGACCTCACTCCCTCTGAGGATGCTTGCCATAGATGCAGGCGAAACGTCAGGAGAGAATGCCTCTAAGCCATGGCCATACAGCCCGAAAAAACCTACAACAACCCAGACTGAAGGATCCTACAGCTGTGGCTATGTTGAAACATTCACACCTAGCTCCAGCAGACAAGAGTCCTTTGTCCCACCCTGGTCATTCCACAGATATATAAACCCACTTTCCTGGTTCCGACAGACCTCACTCCCTCTGAGGATGCTTGCCATAGATGCAGGCGAAACGTCAGGAGAGAATGCCTCTAAGCCATGGCCATACAGCCCGAAAAAACCTACAACAACCCAGACTGAAGGATCCTACAGTTGAAACATTCACACCTAGCTCAAGCAGACAAGAGTCCTTTGTCCCACCCTGGTCATTCCACAGATATATAAACCCATTTTCCTAGTTCCAACAGACCTCACTACCTCTGAGGATGCTTGCCATAGATGCAGGCAACACGTCAGGAGAGAATGCCTCTAAACCATGGCCATACAGCCCGAAAAAACCTACAACAACCCAGACTGAAGGATCCTACAGCTGTGGCTATGTTGAAACATTCACACCTAGCTCCAGCAGACAAGAGTCCTTTGTCCCACCCTGGTCATTCCACAGATATATAAACCCACTTTCCTGGTTCCGACAGACCTCACTCCCTCTGAGGATGCTTGCCATAGATGCAGGCGAAACGTCAGGAGAGAATGCCTCTAAGCCATGGCCATACAGCCCGAAAAAACCTACAACAACCCAGACTGAAGGATCCTACAGCTGTGGCTATGTTGAAACATTCACACCTAGCTCCAGCAGACAAGAGTCCTTTGTCCCACCCTGGTCATTCCACAGATATATAAACCCACTTTCCTGGTTCCGACAGACCTCACTCCCTCTGAGGATGCTTGCCATAGATGCAGGTGAAACGTCAGGAGAGAATGCCTCTAGAACATGGCCATAAAGCCTGAAAAAACCTAATCAAGGTAGTGAGTTGAAACATTCACACCTAGCTCCAGCAGACAAGAGTCCTTTGTCCCACCCTGGTCATTCCACAGATATATAAACCCACTTTCCTGGTTCCGACAGACCTCACTCCCTCTGAGGATGCTTGCCATAGATGCAGGCGAAACGTCAGGAGAGAATGCCTCTAAGCCATGGCCATACAGCCCGAAAAAACCTACAACAACCCAGACTGAAGGATCCTACAGCTGTGGCTATAGTTGAAACATCCACACCTAGCTCCAGCAGACAAGAGTCCTTTGTCCCACCCTGGTCATTCCACAGATATATAAACCCACTTTTTCCTAGTTCCAACAGACCTCACTACCTCTGAGGATGCTTGCCATAGATGCAGGCGAAACGTCAGGAGAGAATGCCTCTAAACCATGGCCATACAGCCCGAAAAAACCTACAACAACCCAGACTGAAGGATCCTACAGCTGTGGCTATGTTGAAACATTCACACCTAGCTCCAGCAGACAAGAGTCCTTTGTCCCACCCTGGTCATTCCACAGATATATAAACCCACTTTCCTGGTTCCGACAGACCTCACTCCCTCTGAGGATGCTTGCCATAGATGCAGGCGAAACGTCAGGAGAGAATGCCTCTAAGCCATGGCCATACAGCCCGAAAAAACCTACAACAACCCAGACTGAAGGATCCTACAGCTGTGGCTATGTTGAAACATTCACACCTAGCTCCAGCAGACAAGAGTCCTTTGTCCCACCCTGGTCATTCCACAGATATATATACCCCTTTTCCTAGTTCCAACAGACCTCACTACCTCTGAGGATGCTTGCCATAGATGCAGGCGAAACGTCAGGAGAGAATGCCTCTAGACCATGGCCATATAGCCCGAAAAAACCTACAACAACCCTGCATTTTTAGGTGGCCAATTGAAACATTCACACCTACCTCCAACAGACAACAGATTTTTCTCGCAACCTGGACATTCCACAGATATATAAACCCCACTTTCCTGGTTTCCAACAGACCTCACAATCTCTGAGGATGTCTTCCATAGATGCAGGTGGAACACCAGGAGAGAATGCTTCTGGATCATGGCCATACAGCCTGAAAAACTTACAGCAACTCAATTACATTGTGGCTATGTTGAACTCTGTGGTTTTGCACTGGGGGCTGTATGGTGGTGGTGGTGGGGATGTGGAGGGATGAGTGTGTTGTTTTGTGCCGTGTGTGGAGGAGGGCATGTATTTTTGAATGGTTCCACGAGGCCACCCCCAGACCCATCCTGTGTGCCAGACATGCAAAGGGGTGATGGGGAGGGGTCCCTCTGAAGCCCCTCTTTCCTTACCCGACTCCGAGGTCCCCTGTGTTCTGCATCACGATGCGCCGCGAGGCTTGGCTCCGCAGCACCACGGCTCCGAAGGGGACGTGGTCCTGGTCCAGGCTGACTTGGATGCCATGGCTGCAGCCTTGGATGGCGAAGAGGGTGCGCAGGACCTCGTGGCACTCGAAGAGGACCTCCTCCGTGAAGGGCAGGAGGCGGGTCCGGGGAGCGAAGGTCACCTCCACCTGGCAGGTGCCTCCTTTGGGCTTCAGGCTGATTTCTCCAGAAGGAGACATGGTGAGCACCTGCCACAAAGACGTGCGCGTGGATCAGGCAGAAGCCACGGCTGGGCGGGTGGCAAAGTTGGGCTGGAAGCGAGGGAGAGTTCCCCGGCCACGGAGGAGGAAGGCTCACCTTTTCTTCGTGCAGCTCCGGCACGGAGGACACAAAGTTGAGCTGGAAGTTGACAAAGGTCACGCTGTTGTTCACGATCGTGGCCGTCTTCTTCGCCGTGTGTCCCGGAGGCACGGCTCCGAATTTCAGCACCTTGCTACGAGGTTCCACAACGTCAATCTGCAGGTGGGAAAAAGGATCGCAGAATCATACAGCTGGAAGAGCAATCCATTTCAAGGTTGCTCTCTTTTCTCCTTCTACAGCAGGCATGGGCCAACTTCCACAGTTGCAATCACACTGTGGCTTTCTATCATTGGTGGGGTTCAGAATGCTCTTTGATTGTAGGTGAACTATAAATCCCAGCAACTACAAGTTTGATCCAGAGACCACAGTGCTCTCTGGATATAGGTGAACTACAGCTCCCAAACTCAAGGTCAATGCCTACCAAACCCTTCCAGTATTTTCTCTTGGTCATGGGAGTTTTGGGTGCTGAGATTAGTTCAATTCCATCATTGGTGGGGTTCAGAATGCTCTTTGATTGTAGGTGAACTATAAATCCCAGCAACTACAACCCCCAAATGTCAAAGTCTATTTCCCCCCAAACTCCACCAGTGTTCATGTTTGGGCATACTGAGAATTCGTGTCAAGTTTGGTCCAGAGTCCACAGTGCTCTCTGGATATAGGTGAACTACAACTCCCAAACTCAAGGTCAATGCCTACCAAACCCTTCCAGTATTTTCTGTTGGTCATGGGACTTTTGGGTGCTAAGATTAGTTCAATTCCATCGTTGGTGGGGTTCAGAATGCTCTTTGATTGTAGGTGAACTATAAATCCCAGCAACTACAATCCCCAAATGTCAAGGTCTATTTTCCCTCAAACTCCAGGAGTGTTCACATTTGGGCATACTGAGTATTCGTGCCAAGTTTGGTCCAGATCCATCATTGTTTGAGTCAACAGTGCTCTCTGGATGTAGGCGAACTACGACTCCAAAACTCAAGGTCAGTGCCCACCAAACCCTTCCAGTATTTTCTCTTGGTCATGGGAGTTTTTGGTGCTGAGATTAGTTCAATTCCATCGTTGCTGGGGTTCAGAATGCTCTTTAATTGTAGGTGAACTATAAATCCCAGCAACTACAACCCCCAAATGTCAAGGTCTATTTTCCCCCAAACTCCAGGAGTGTTCACATTTGGGCATACTGAGAATTCATGCCAAGTTTGGTCCAGATCCATCATTGTTTGAGTCCACAGTGCTCTCTGGATGTAGGCAAACTACAACTCCCAAACTCAAGGTCAATGCCTACCAAACCCTTCCAGTATTTTCTCTTGGTCATGGGAGTTTTGGGTGCTGAGATTAGTTCAATTCCATCGTTGATGGAGTTCCGAATGCTCTTTCATTGTAGGTGAACTATAAATCCCAGCAATTGACAAACTCAGATAACACAGGGCTTCTTTCTTTGAATCTTAACAGTCCAAAGTCTATAGCAGGCATGGGCCAACTTGGGCCCTCCCTCCAAGTCTTTTGGACTTCAATTCGTAACAGCCTCAGGCCCCTTCCTTTTCCCCCTCAGCTGCTTAAACTGAGTGCTGGGCCCATAACCAATGTTAGGCGCTGTTGCTTGTGTGGAGTGCAAGGAAGCCTCCTCTACAGCAGGCATGAGGCTGTTAGGAATTGTGGGAGTCGAAGTCCAAAACACTTGGAGGGAGGGCCTAAGTGTGCTCATGCCTGCCGTAGAGGAAGCTCCCTTGCACTCCGCACAAGCAATAGAATAGCATTGAGCCCTGGCCATTAGGTGAGAGATGATGTCCCTCAAAGAAGAAGAACTGAACCTGCTTCCCGTTTGGCTTGGGCTCAGCACTAAGGTGACCGTACGACAAGAATGCAACGCACACCCTCATTTTGGTGAGGTCATTTAGGTCTGGTCTCACCTTCATCTCAATGCCTCTCCCAGAGACCTCGACCGTCCGCTGCAAGAGCCCGTTGATTTCAAAGGTGACGACTTCGTGGTAGGAGACGGCCTCTCGGGGATAGAAATGGATGGGAATCTCGGCCTTCCCTCCGGGAGTCAGCACTTCGGGGCAGGAGCCCAGCTCCAGGTGAGCCGTGTTGGCAAACAAGCAGTTCAGGCTGCGGAGGGAGCAGAAGAGCCCGAGTCAACCAGTGACTCATCAGTGTATTCTGTGTACTCTGGCCATTCGAGTTGCTGCCTGCTTAGAATGACTTCCCTATTTATTTGTCATGTCAGGGCAACCAGTCAGTTATATTACATTTCTATCAGAACAAAGCAAACAAACAGACAAAATACAAAATGTGTGAGTTTGGTAGTTGATTAAATGTCCCTTGACCAAAACCTGGCCCCTTGGAGTGCGTCTGGTGTTGCCGCAAGAAGGTCCTCCCTTGTGCGTGTGGCAGGGCTCAGGATTCAGACAGAGTTTTGGAGCGCAACACTTCTGACCTCACAATCGTGTTAAAAAATAAAGTATGGATTGTCGATGTCGTAATCGCAGGTGACAGCAGGATTGAAGAGAAACAACTGGAAAAGCTGACACGATACAAGGATTTAAAGATCGAACTGCAAAGACTTTGTTACAAGCCAGTCAAGGGGGTCCCAGTGGTGCACCCAGTGGTGATCGGCACACTGGGTGCAGTGCCTCAAGACTCTGGCCTGCACTTAAGCACAATTGGTGCTGACAAGATTACCATCTGCCAGCTGCAGAAGGCCACCTTGCTGGGATCTGCACGCATTATTCGCAGATACATTCACACAGTCCTAGACACTTGGGAAGTGTCCATCGTGTGCTCCAATACAACAGCCAGTAGAGTGTCTGCTGTGGACTCATCTTGTTGTGTTTCTAATAACAATAAAAACAACAACAATGTTGCACCCCTGGCAGATGGCTACCCAGCCTCTGCTTAAAAGTCTCCTGGGAAAGCGCAATCTGCTTCCGCCCATCCTGGCCAGGCATTCCTCCCTCCTTACCTGGCCTCCTTCTTATCCTTGTTTGTTATGATGAGGGTTCGCTTGAGGATGGGCATCCCGGCGTGGTAGATGAAGCAGTTGCCAAAGTCCACTTTGGTGAAGGAGAAGTGGACGCTGGGAGCCACAACCACGCCTTGAAGGGCGCAGGTGAACGTGGGGCCGTGGCTGATCTGCAGGGACACAAAGAGCCCTATGAGACCTATTAGACCCTGGCCTTGAGTGCACAGGATAGGCCACCAAAAGCCCTCCTCCTCCTCCTTACATGAAGCTTGAGCTCAGCATCCTTCAAGGAGCACGTCTTCAGCGGATGGAAGCTGAGCACCACCTCCATCCGCTCTCCGACTTCTACCACAGCCATCTCCGGAGCGATGGCGAAATAGCGCTGGACTGCTTTGGCATGGCAGAACTCCCACGAGAACGAGAAGTTGAACTTGCCCGTGTTCAGGATGTAGAAATTGCACTGCGTGAAGTCGTTCACTTGCATCTGGCCAGAGGAAAGGAAGTGGCCCAACTGAACGTGGAGGCAGAACCACCACGGCTGCAAAAGGCTGCTCCGTCCTTCCCTTACTCCCTCACTCCCTCCCTCCCTTCTGGACCTCAATTAGAAACCTGCCTCTGCAATTATATAACACACAGCAGCAAAAAGTGCATTCTTTGTAATTTGGCCATTATAGTTGCCAACCTCACTGAGTTACATTGCGAGTAAAGAGGCATCGTGTCACTAAGAAGGTGAGATTCCCCCCCCCCCCAAATCAGGTCTAATGCTGATTTTTGCCCCAAAAGTGCTAATTTTCAGGGGATACCTTTCTTTCATGTACAAAAAACAGTGTTCCTATTAGACACAACCAAGTCTGTTCATCATCAAGCACATATGTTATCCGTGCACTGGGTCTGGACTCCAATTAGCCATTTAGGAATAAGTCTCAAGTCCCATCTATTTACACAGGCATTTACCTCTCGTCCGAAGGCGCCCGCTTGTGTATTTACAAATAATGATAATTTATATTATCATTTATTTTTAGTATTAATGCCATTGATATTATTTACTTATATTTAAAAATCATGCAACTGCTTATTTTCTGGTTATGTCTTATTCCCAGGGAAACATGGACAGGAAGGAAGGAAGGAAGGAAGGAAGGAAGGAAGGAAGGAAGGAAGGAAGGAAGGAGGGGGAAGAGGAAGGGGAAGAGGAGGGAAGGGAAAGAAAGGAAAGTGTGCACTGTTCTCATTTATGAAATCACATGGTCAACTCTTAGGTTTCAGCCCATGGAGTGTCTTGGCCTGGGAGTGGCTAGGTTCAGCCAACCAACCAATTAACATTGATTGCTATTGTACAAATATTATCTTAAGGCATTGCTTTGGATGAATGAAGTGCTCCAAAATGTGTACACTGCATGTGCTCAATGGAGTGTCCCAGCAACCACCTCTCTCACCTCATGAAACGGGAGTGGGTTTGCCTGGTCTGCGTCCAGCTCCATCATGGAGCCGTCACTTCTCTGGTGCTTCACGGAGACGCTCATGGCGTGGCCGGTGGCTTTGACGTTCAGGCAAAGGGGCTGGCTCTTCCTCTTGACGTCACAGATCAAGTTGAAGTTGACCTCCCCTTCCAAGGTTGGTGTGAAGAAGATGGTAATCGGAACCCTGGTGCAGGAAACAACCCAGCAGCACATACATCACTGTTGGGCGGGTTCAATAGCGGAGAGGTATTTTATGACACCAAAGAACAAGGAGGAAAAATGATCAAAATGTCTTGGCGTCATAGTGGATGAAGTGACAGCACCCCCCTGAGGCCAGAATTGAGGGTAACCTCCAGATGCCAAAGTTAGAAATGCCAAAATACCTCTATCTGTATGTATGTGTATGTCTAAAAAAAACATTGAATGTTTGTCCTGTATGCATGCATTGTGATCCACCCTGAGTCCCCTTCAGGGTGAGAAGGGCAGAATATAAATACTGTAAATAAATAGATAAACGAGAAGAGAGATCCCTGGTGGAGAAGCAATCAGTGGGAGACCACTGGAAAACTCAGGGCACTCTGAAAATCCCAATTCCAGGCTCCAGAATCTCTGCCTCCTGTTAAATATAAATGCCTCAGCATTGAATCTATATGAAAATACCATTTTGATTGACATGTGATAACACCTAGAGCAGTGGTTCTCAACCTTCCTAATGCCGCGACCCCTTAATACAGTTCCTCATGTTGTGGTGACCCCCAAACATAACCCTGACATTATGAATCGCCATGTAAATAATGATCTACAGAATGTATTTTCATTCACTGGAGCAAATTTGGCACAAATACCCGGTATGCCCAAATTTGAATACTGGTGGGGATGGGGGGTTGATTTTGTCATTTGGGAATTGTAGTTGCTGGGATTTATAGTTAACCTGTAAACAAAGAGCATTCTGAACCCCACCAACAATGGAATTGAACCAAAGTTGGAACACAGAACTCTCATGACCAACAGAAAATACTGGAAGGGTTTGGTGGGCATTGACCTTGAGTTTGGGAGCTGAAGTTCACCTACATCCAGAAAGCACTGTGGGCTCAAACAATGATGGATCTGGACCAAACTTGGCACGGATACTCAATATGCCCAAATGTGAACACTTATGGGGTTTGGGGAAAATAGACTTTGACATTTGGGAGTTGTACTTGCTGGGATTTATAGTTCATTTACAATCAAGGAACGTTCTGAACCCCAACAATGATAGAATTGGGCCAAACTTCCCACACAGAACCCCCATGACCAACAGAAAATACTGTGTTTTCTGATGGTCTTTGGTGACCCCTCTGACACCCCTTCACGACCCCCCCCAGGGGTCCTGACCCCCAGGTTGAGAAACACTGACCTAGGGAATGACTGAGAAAGTCATGATGTGATACCTCAGGGGCATGCAGAAAGGGTGGAGTCATAATCATGTGAGGCTTATGACAAGGGGTTGCATCAGTTTTGTGTCGCCGACAGGCTGAGAAAGGCGGTATACAAATACCGTAAATAAATAATTACATCAGTCATTTGTCTCTTACTGATGACAAGTCTGCAGGTGGTTATAAAGAAATGCATAATCTCTCTCTTCCTGTGTGAATTTCACCGTAAGTATCTCCCTCTGTATGACTCTCTGAGGATCGTTTGTAAGTACACTTCTGATTGTGGATATGTGTAGTCTTGTAGTTCAGCCAGCTGAGGATGATGAGGGGTTTGGGGGTGCAGGACCTGATGTTTCTGGAGGTGTTCAGACAGATTGGATGTTGGAACAGGATAGTGATTACCCAGTTGGGAGAACGGAGGGGGATTTGGTCGAGTCTCTGTGTGAAAACGAAACTGTTTTTAGAAGCTGACAGGCAGAGAAGGGAGGAAGGGAGATTGGACAGAGATTCAAGGCTGCTCCTGCGAGGGAAGAATTCCAGGTACAAGCCGAGCCATGGGGAAAGGAAGCAGAGGCCGAGAGAGACTTGTCAAGGCCAACGGAATGCTTTCATGAATTGCTGTTCTTAATTAGGTAAAGAATAGCTGTCAGGTCTGAGATCAAGCAACGTAGGAAATAGAGCAAGAAGCTCCTGCCTTGGTCCTGGTCCTATCTTAGCTGTAAGCCAAATTTCCTAGTTGTTGCGGCTCAGTTTGAGCTTGAGTTTCTTCAGGACGTGGAGGATGATGGGTTACAGATTTCTGAACATGGTCCTGTTGTTGAGGCAGACAGTGTTGATTCTGAAGAAGAGACGGCATTTCTGTTTCCCAGAGAAAGGAATGTTGTTTTAGATGAAGGTAATGTTTTAAGGGAAACTTCACAGCTGCAGGTGGAGGAGTCGGCCGCTCCATCTGGGAGCTCAGTGCCTCTCGGCTCTGAGGGTGACCAGTCCCAGGATAATGAGGTATCCGGCTTGAAGGTGATGGAGATTTGATTAGGGAGGACCCTTTGCAATTAAGGGAACGCCAAAGTGCTCGGCTTGCCAACAAACGGGAAGTTAGAGGTCAACCTTTCATGCTAGGGAAACATATTTAACAATCTGATTGAAGTGAGTCTTTTGTCAGAGCAACTTTGCTTACACCCTGTTAACTTCTCTGGAATTACCTCGGCTTTTGGGGAAAGCTTTGGCTCTTTGGGACTTTGGTTTTGATCTTAGCTTCTGGGGACTTTGTCATGCTGCCATGGCTTCTTGTTTGACCCATGCTTGTGGATTATACTTTATGTTATTTGCTTCTGGACCTTGGGAACTCTGCCTTTGCATTTAAGACTCTGCTTTGGCTATTGAACTTTTGCAACCTTATTTCTATGTTTATGATTTTGCTTTTTCTTCAATAAACTACAAAACCTACAGCCTTGGAGCTACAGCGGTTCCAGGGAGGTTGTGATTGGAAAACTATACGTCACTTCACAAACCTATCCCGCGACACCTCCTTTACCTGGTACTTGGTAGGATGGACCCTTCCATGGGCTGCACTTTCAGGCTGTTGATTCGCCCCTCGGAAAAGCGGGAGCCGTCTCTGAAAGAGAAGCTGTAGGTGTCTTTCTCGTTGTTGATGATGTCGACGCTTTCCCGAGCTTCGTGTCCTGAAGGAGAATGGGGAAAATGGCACATGGTTAGTTTTTGTCTCAGTTCAGAGTCTTACCTGCGGGTACCTTTCTGTATACCACTTGAGAAGATTCTTCTCAAACGGGTTTTCTAGAAGGTTATGATCTCTAAAAGGTCATGCTGTTCTAAAAAGAGAGGGGTCACTCCGTCCCCCGCCAGCTCACCGACTAAGAGCGAGTGGAAGTTCAGGTGGGATCGGTCCAGGTACACCGCAGGGTCAGTAGTGTGGCCCACCAGGAGGAATGGGACCACAATGTCCAGTTCGGGGATTGAGAAGGACCAGAATGATTCCGTGATGTCCACGTGCCGTGGGATGAATTCAAAGATGACCTACGGGTAAAACAAAACAAGGAGGGCTTTTTGAGTACAGGCAGTCCCCAAGTTCTGTAGGTTTGTTCTTAAGTGGGATTTGTTTGTAAGTCGGAACAGGGACATTCTTTAAGTGTAACTCCAGACAAATATATATCTTTTAGTTTTGGATCGCATCAGGACGGGCGAAGTCCCCTATGGTGTTTGTGTTGCTGTCTGTGCAGAAGAGTTCATCTAACCTCTTGTCCCTGGGATTATTGGATTTTGGAAAGTGGGACTTGTTGAGGAAGCAAGGATGGGGATAAAGCGCCAGTGGAGACACCTTTCCCCATGACAATAACTCTTCCAGGTGTGGATTTCCCTCCAGAGAGACAGATTTCCCTCACTTCCTACTGTCTCAGTTCTGATCTATTGCCGTTCTTGTGGTTGTTGTTTGTTTATTCCCCACTTTTTTCTCTCCACACGGAGTCTCAAAGCAGCTACAAGAAGACTCAAAGTGATCTTCACTAGGAGTCGTTTGTAAGTCGGATGTTTGCAACTCGGGGACTGCCTGTATAGTCGTGCTCTTGCTGGCTGCAATTATTGCTCACCACACAAACATATTCCCCTCCGTGGCAGTAAAAACACAACCAGAACAAAGTCATAGAATCGTAGAATTATAGAGTTTAGAAGAGACGACAAGGGCTGGCAACCTGTTGATGGTTCGTGACAGCCTGTTGGGACTCAGCCTGTGCTTGAACCTGTGAATGTGTCTCAGTCTCCTGATGTTTCTGTGTCTGATGTGGGTAATGAGGAGGGAAATCAGTCACCTGTTGCTTCTGATGTGGGGGATGCTGGGACTGACTCTGAGGACACCTACAGCTTCTCTTTCAGAGACGGCTCTCGCTTTTCCGAGGGGCGAATCAACAGCCTGAAAGTGCAGCCCATGGAAGGGTCCATCCTACCAAGTTCCAGGTAAAGGAGGTGTCGCGGGAGAGATGGAGACACTTTGGTCAGTGAGTTTCATGCAGACACTGACAGAGAGGCTTTGGTGCAAAGGGCAGATTCTCATGAGAATGCTTCTGTCAGGCCTTGGGAGGAAGGTTTACTCCCTCCGCCTGTAAGCTCTCCAGATTCTAGTTTGGAAAACAGTCTGACACCTGGGAAAGTTAATGAGGAGTCAGAGAAGCAGAGTCGGTGGCTGGAGATTAGACAAGAGGCCCAATGTTTACATAGATCTGAAAGAATTCATCAATTAAAGTCAAAAACGGGGGAAACGAAACTAGTTTTTGGGATTTAAGGTTTGCCTGTAGAAAATCTTGTCAGATCAGGCATCGTTTGGAAACCAAGTTCTTGTGCCATAGAAGTCTTGTTCAAGGGATCTTGTTTCTGTGGAGTTTTTTTAGACTTTTGGATTCTCTATGCATCCTGTTCGATTCCTGTCTGGATTAATGCTGTCTTGGATTGCCTGTATTTCTTGTGTGGACGTTGCTTTGGGTTACTACTGTTTATGGACTAATACTATTTGGAACCTTCTGATTTTCTTTCAAGAATTTATTTCTTTTGGCTATTTACTAAGCTTTAATAAAAGACAATTTGATTCTTGTTTTTAGTCAGAGGGCTTCTTCTGGACCTGGAGTGCAACACAGCCCCAATCTGCCACTCTGCCTAATGGTAGGGCCAGCTACATGAAAGGAAACAAAAGGAAACGAGAGAACGGTGGTCCCCAAGCATGCTGAGCGAGCCCCTGTCACTGGTCCTTTGGCCCCTCCAGCCACTCACCTCCATGGTCTTCTCCGGCCGGAGCTGACCCCGGTCAGTGAAGCAGATGAAGACCGGGTGCTCCTTGCTCTCCTCTGGCTTCTGCTGGCAAGTCCAATGGAACGAGTAGGGCGTGTTGGTGGGGTTCATGATCACAAAGCTCCTACTCATGAGGGAAAAGAAGAAAGAAGCGTCCACAGAAATGTTACAACTATCACGGGGAAATGCATGACGAGAGCGCTTTCCCTCAACTAGCTCTCCTTGGTGGGTTTTTGGTATCAGAATATCAACAAGACTAGCAGCTCCATTGGCTCCTGGTCCAGTTCATACTGTTGGCTTGATCTATACCCGTGTTTCTCAACCTTCCTAATGCCATGACCTCTTAATACAGTTCCTTATGTTGTGGTGACCCCCAACCATAACATTATTTTCGTTGCTACTTCATAACTGTAATTCTGCTCCTGTTATGAATTGTAATGTAAGTATCTGATATGCAGGATGTATTTCCATTCGCTGGACCAAATTTGGCACATATTCCTGATATGCCCAAATCTGAATACCGGTGGGGTTGGGATTGATTTTGCCATTTGGGAGTTGTAGTTGCCAAGATTAATAGTTCACCTACACTCAAAGAGCATTCTGAACTCCACCAACGATGGAATTGAACCAAATTTGGCACACAGAACTCCCATGAGCAACAGAAAATACTGGAAGGGTTTGGTGGGCATTGACTTTGAGTTTAGGAGTTGTAGTTCACCAACCTCCAGGTAGAGCACTGTGGACTCAAACAATGATGGATCTGGTCTAAACTTGGCACAGATCCTCAATATGCCCAAATATGAACACTGGTGGAGTTTGGGGAAATGAGACTTGACATTTGGAGTTGTAGTTGCTGAGATTTATAGTTCACTTACAATCAAATTGCATTATGAACCCCACCAACGATAGAACTGGGCCAAACTTCCCACGCAGAACCCCCATGACCAACAGAAAATACTGTATTTTCTGATGGTCTTTGGTGACCCCTCTGGCACCCCCTGGCGACCCTCCCACCCAGAGGTCCCAACCCCCAGGTTGAGAAACGCTGATCCATACAGTCCTATCCCAATTTGGAACAGGTTATGGACAAATCCACATCTCTCCTGTCTCCCAGTTCCCATGGAAGGAACTGGGAGACAGGAGACCATTCCCCGTTTTCAGAAGAAATGGGATGCTGGGCTTGACCACAAACTTGTAAGCCAGCAAACAACACTCTTGGGGCCATGATCCGACACCCAAAAGGGATCCATGGAAGTCGTGGAGCGAGGAAAGGAGGAATGGCACAACAGTACTGGAATAAACGGCTACCAACCAAAGTTTGCCACTGTACAGAAATAAAGGGAAGCAGCTCCTTTGCAAAGGGTTGTGCTCCATGGATGTGCTCCCTAACTCGTGTGGTTCAAACTGAGCACCGCCAGCTCACGGGGTCCCTTTGACGGGCTTGCATGTGCACTCACTCACTTGGTGTTCCGGACGTGGATGCCCACTGAGGTGAACTCAATCACTTTTGTGTTGGGGTCGAGGCCCGCCCCACCTGGTCCCCGCAGCTCTGGGTTGCGCCTGTTTGCCGTGATGTAATCGGAGTCTTCGAGGTCGAAATGGCAATAGGGGAGGAGGCCCTTCCCCTTCACCGTCACGACCGGGCCTCCCTCATTCTCCTTCAGGTTCACAATGCTGTGAAGATGGACACCGAGAGTGAGAGCGTGACAGTCGGAAACGGGCAACCTCTGCTCTAATTCTCCCAATACATTCTTAGGACGTCATTATGAGTGGAATGTCAGTATATATTGTACAAATCTGTCTCTTTCTTTCCTCTACTTTGTTAACGAGTAAATGTTTTTGCAATGAATTAAATGTAAATAAAGATAAGAGCCGCTACCGAAGTAGAAACAACTGTCTGAAGTCAGTGAATGGGATGATAAGAAGCAAGTTGGCCAGCTAATTGCATTGATAGTCATCACACACACAAATTTCCCCGTCATAGGACACTTCAGTCGCTTTTCAAGCATGGAGGGGCACAGTGTTGGGACTCAGCCTGTGTTTCACTCTGTTATAGTGTTTTCCCCTTCTAATGTTTCTGAGCCTGTCTTGGATGTCAATGAGGATGAGGTGCAAAATGGAGACACTTTGGACAATAAGGTTACTATAGACTCTGATCAAGAAGGGTCGGGAGAAAGGCGAAGTTCTCATGAGAAAATTCCAGGCTCGAGTCTGCAAGATAGTTTCACACCTGCAGTTAATGAAGAGATAGATAAGACCAGTCGCTGTCTGGAAATCAGCCAGAACCATAGAGAGGCCCAATGTTTACGCAAGTCAGAAAGAATTTGGCAATTAAGGTCAAAGACTGGGGCGGGGGGATTAGAAATCAGTTTCTGGGACTTAAATTGAATTTCCTTCAGACCAGGCATCGTTTGGTTTCAAGTCAAGTCTTTTGGATATTCTTGTGGCCTCATCTCCTAGTTTTCTGTCTGCGGTCTAGTGGCGGTCTCTCATCATCTTATCTCCCTCCTCTCCATATGCTAATGAACAAAAGTAAGTTTTCAGTTGTTTTCAGTTGTTTTTTGAAGGAGAAGAGGGAGGGGCCCAGCTTTATTTCTTTAGGGAGGGAGTTCCAGAGGAGGAGGGCGACCACGGAGAAGGTCTCTTCTCTTGTTCCCACCAACCAGCCTTGAGATGGAGGTGGAACTGAGAGCAAGGTCTCCTCTAATTACCACAGTGCCTGGGCTGGTTTTTAGGTGGAGGTGCACTTTTCTTGGCATGTTTGCTGGCTTGTCTTGATTGTAAACCATCCCTTAGTTGGGCTCCTCAACTTCTGAGGATACCTGCCATAGATGTGGGTGAAACGTCAGGAGAGAATGCTTCTGGAACATAGCCAGGAAGCTCAGAAAACTCAGAATAAACTATTTTATTCTTCTGCAGAATAAACTATTGGATTTTATATCCTCAAATTCTAGTCTTTGATTGGGAAGTAAATGGACTGGGGATATTGGAGCACTACGCATCAACAATTCAGACCTCTCCTCTGCTGAGATGGAGCTCCAGGCCTGGAAATGTCACACACCAAGGCTGGAAACACACCTTTGAACCCACGAACACGCCAAAGTTCTTTAGCAAATAAACAGTTTATTGAATAAAAGCAAGCAATATAAAAAAGGATGAAAAAAGCAAGTAAAGGCTGAAATAAGAAAGTCTAAAATCAATCCAAACCAGCATTTAGGCAAATATAATCCATAAAAGGAAACAGAGACGATTCTTAAATCCACAGCAAAATCCACGAATGAATAGTCCTTAAAACCCACCGAGGAAAATATCCAAAGTCTCTTGAAAAGCCAAGGAACACAGATCCAAAATCAACAGAAGAATTATACAGGAAAACTTTCACCAACAGCATCTTGAACATGAGTCTTGAGCAGAGAATTCCATGAATCTTGACATGACATACATACAAGACTTGACCAACGTTGCGCTCACTGAAGGCAATGCTGTGAAAGCCCTATATTTATTCAAAAAGACCTACACAGAATGCAGGAAAATTTTCACCAACGGCAACTTGAACATGAGTCTTGAGCAGAGAATTCCATGAATCTTGACATGACATACATACAAGACTTGACCGATAACCAATGTTGCGCTCACTGAAGGCAATGCTGTGAAAGCCCTATATTTATTCAAAAAGACCTACCCAGAATGCATTCCGATTCTCTTGAGAACTCTCCTGCAAATTCCTCTTTTCCTTTATCCTGACAGACCTTCGGACTCTTGACAGATTTGACCCCTTCTATCAAAGGTTGATTCCTCCCGGTTGCTCATTAACACATTCCTTTTGCTTTCCTTCTCTAGCAACCCAAGCTGGTTCCCATCCGACTGTCTGGAAACCATTCTCTCTTGAGAACTAACAATCCCAGAGTCTTCCAACTCCCTTTGTTCTGCAGTTTGTCCTGTGCCCTCTTCTTCACTCATAATCTCCTGAGAATCTACATTAAATTCCAACATGGCCATCTCTGAAGGGTCCTGCTTTGAAGGAAATTGAACATAACCATAATCCTCGTCTTGAGGCACTGCAACAACCCCAGTCATCTGAGCTCCTACAGCAGTGGTTCTCAACCTTTCTAAAGCTGTGACCCCTAAATAAAGTTCCTCATGTTGTGGTGACCCCCAACCATATTTTCGTTGCTACTTCACAATACTACTCTTATGATGCATAATGGAAATATCTAATATGGAGGATTATTTTCATTGTTACAAATGTAACATATTAAAGCATAGTSATTGATCACAAAAACAATATGCTCGGGGAGTATGGACAATGGATGATGGGATTTGCAGTACCTTCAACCGATTCAGCTCTGACTTCCACAGACCATTGAGACCCCCACAAATTATAGACCTGGACCAAACTTGGCACACAGAACCCCAATGACCAACAGAAAATACTGGAGGGGGCTGGGAGGAATTGACTATGATTTACAGGAAATGTAGTTCACCTACATAMGGAGAGCACTGTGAACCCAAACGACTGTGCGTTTGGACCAAACTTGGCAGAAATACTCAATATACCCAAATTTGAACACTGGTGGAGTTTGGGGAAAACAGATCTTGACATTTGGGAGTTGCAGTTGCTGGAAACGGCAGGGCCGTGAGGGTAGCCCTCCGCCTCCCTCCTGCGCCCTTTCCAACTGGGACAGGCGCAGGGGTCGGGCAGAAAGGCTGCCCAAAGGGCAGGGCTGTGAGGGCAGCCCTCCGTCTGGCCCCCGCGCCCTGCTCTAATGGCAAGGTGAACTTTCTTCCTGTGCACACCTTTTCCTGCAAGCTCCTCCTCTTGGCACCACCCAGCCCTGTGGGAAGAGCAGGAGGAGGAGCTTATCAGGAGTGCTAGCTTTTTGGCTGGCACAGGGCGTCGGCAGCCATTTTGGAGGGGGCGGGGCCATCCAAGGCACCTTCGCGACCCCCCGAAAATGGCCCAACGACCCCCCTGGGGGTCGCGACACCCAGGTTGAGAACCGCCGTCCTACAGGAAGGTGGGTTAGTGAGCGCCACGGGCCTTTGGGTGATGCCCTCTTACCTGCAGAACAGGTGGCCTTCGAATTCGCCCACTTCCTGGGGAGAGAACTTCACTTGCAGGATCTGGGATCTCCCGTGGGGGATGATGCCGCTCCGGGGCTCCAGGAGGAACGGGGGCCGGGTGGGCGTTGGGAAGAGGTACGAGGAGAAGCTCTCCAGCATGCTCCCCAGCTGGCTGGACGGGCGGCTGCACTGGGTCTTGATGGACGTTGCCGAGGTTGCTGACATTGCGTCTGATGGGGGCAAAGGGGAGAGATCTGGTCATGGCGGCAATGGCTTCCAGCCCCTACTTTGTCTGAGGATCCGATATGTGGGTGATCTAACTAATTCGGATGGATCTAACTCCCATTAAGGTGAAAAGGATGCATGGTTTAAAATCACAGTCAAGCATGTGACTTGAGGAATGAATGCCTTAGCTGCAGCACAGTAGAAGGCAAGGGGGTGCAAGCAAAGTGTCAAGTGCAAGTACAATTAATACAATGGAGTCCTCGGTGGCACAATGGGTTAAACCCTTGTGCCGGCAGGACTGAAGACCGACAGGTCACAGGTTTGAATCCGGGGAGCGCATGGATGAGCTCCCTCTGTCAGCTCCAGCTCCCTATGCAGAGACATGATAGAAAACTCCCACAAGTATGGTAAAACATTTTTAAAAAACCATCAGGGTGTCCCCTGGGCAACGTCCCTGCAGACAGCCAATTCTCCTACACCAGAAGCGACTTGCAGTTTCTCAAGTCACTCTTGACACGAAAATAACTAATAAAATGTCAATCTACGACAATCATGACTATCACAGCCCCTTACCATTAAACATGGGACATGAGGATGGTAACACTTCAGGGTGTCCCCTGGGCAACGTCCTTGCAGACAGCCAATTCTCTCACACCAGAAGCGACTTGCAGTTTCTCAAGTCACTTCTGACACACAAAAAACCCACTAAACATTTACTTCATTTATACGCTGCCTTTCTCACCCCACGGGGGACTCAAGGCAGGTTACAAACATAATAATAAAACCAATACAACAATAAACATACCTTATCAAACTATAAAACCATCAAACATATGAGCAAAAAAAAATACGATAAAACAGATTAAAACACATAACATATTAAAACCTAAAGTGCCAAGTCTTGATTTTATACTTAGCAGTTAGTCTGTAGTCACTATCCAAACTGTTGAGGTCAAATTCCGTATTAGCCTATTCTCCGAACATCTCGTACAGAGCCAGGTCTTTAGTTTTTTCTTGAAGGTCAGGAGGGAGGCAGGCAATCTAATTTAACTGGGGAAGGAGTTCCACAGCCGAGGGGCCACCACTGAGAAGGCCCTGTGTCTCGTCCCCAAGAGTCATGCTTGCAAAGGAGGTGGGATTGAGAGCAGGGCTCCCTAGCCGATCTTAAAGCTCTTGTTGGTTCATAAAGGGAGATGTGTTTGGACAGGTAAGCTGGACCAGAACCATTTATATACTCCACACGTATGTCTCTGTATTCCTGAAGGTGACCAAATATGTCTGCATAACTATGATCAACATTTCATATGATAATAATTTCCGCTACCTTGGCAGCCACCTCTCCACCAAAGTCAACATCGACACCGAAATACAACACCGCCTGAGCTCTGCGAGTGCAGCATTTTCCCGAATGAAGCAGAGAGTGTTTGAGGACCGGGACATCCGTAGGGAGACCAAGGTGCTTGTTTATAGAGCGATTCCCCTCCCAACCCTGCTATACGCCTGTGAGACGTGGACTGTCTACAGACGTCACATGCAACTCCTGGAACGATTCCATCAGTGCTGCCTCCGGAAAAGCCTGCAAATCTCTTGGGAAGACAGGCGGGGAAACGTCACCGTGCTGGAAGAAGCAAAGACCACCAGCATTGAAGCAATGGTCCTCCAACATCAACTCCGCTGGACTGGCCACGTAGTCTGGATGCCTGACCACCGTCTCCCAAAACAGTTGCTCTACTCCAAACTCAAGAACGGAAAACGGAATGTTGGTGGACAGGAAAAGAGATCGAAAGATGGGCTCAAAGCCAACCTTTAAAACTGTGGCATAGACACTGAGAACTGGGAAGCCCTGGCCCTTGACCACTCCAGTTGGAGGTCAGCTGTGACCAGCAGTGCTGCAGAATTTGAAGAGGCACGAATGGAGGGCGAAAGGGAGAAGCGTGCCAAGAGGAAGGTGTGTCAAGCCAACCCTGACCAGTACCGCCTTCCACCTGGAAACCGATGCCCTCACTGCAGAAGAAGATGCAGGTCAAGAATAGGGCTCCACAGCCACATGCGGACCCACAAGAACACTGGAAGACAATCATCCTCAGAAAGTGAGGGATCGCCTAAGTAAGTAAGTAAGTAAGTAAGCATAGCTATGATTTGCAATAAATAAATAGGAAAAAAAATGCTTAGCCTAAAAGATTACTGAAGAACCTGCTCATTTCCCCATGTAAATAGCCAAAGATTCCAAGACTTAAGAATGCTGAAGTGGAATGTTGACGTTCATGCTGCCTGGAGGCCTAGGTGGCCAGAAGGTGCATGGGACCCTGGCAAAGGTCCAGATTGTCTGACAAATGGCAAAGGGACCTTCAACTCCTCAGTCTAAAGAGGGAGTGGTGGGGAAACGCATCTGTTTCACCGGTACCTTCGGTGTTTGTCGGCCCAGGTTCCGTCGCAAAGTTGACCATCCTCGCGCTCTCTTCGACTACCACTTTCCAGGTGTATTCCAGCTGCACATTCCCTGTGTTGAAGAGCTCCACTCTGGCAGCACAATCCAAGAATAGAGAGAAATAGAGAGTGAGAACATCAAAAGATTACCACTTGCTTCCTGTGCCATCAAAAAGGTTCTCTCTCGGGCCTTAAATGGACACCCAAAAGCATGGTGAAAATACCCTTGTGCCTTATAGGACATTTGGAGGCAAAACAACTTGATTATTATTATTTTTTGGTAGGTACAGCGGGGACACAATCCCCTCAAGGTCTCCTTCCACAGTTTCCCTTCATTGTTTTGACTAATCAGCTCTCTAAGCTCTTTGTGTAGGGCTGGTACTCACTGGAAGACCCTTGTCTGGAAGAGCAACGTGTCCTTGAAGTGCACAGAGTCCACCTCCATCTTGTACTGGGCATAGTCCACGACAGCGCTCACCCGAAGATCCAGCTCCCGGCCGCCTTCCTCCAGACTTAGGTACGCTGGCTCTGGATCTTTCTCAATCACCTGCATTGAGAGCAGAGAGAGAGAGGAAGAGGGACTCATTATTATTATTATTATTATTATTAAGCAGAGGCTGGGAGGCCATCTGCTTGGGATGTTTTTCCTTTATGCCAAAAGGAGTTGGACTGGATGGCCCCTGGGGTCCCTTCCAACTCTAGGATTCTAGTATTATTATTGTTGTTATTATTATTATTATTATTATTATTCAGCATGGGATGGGTGGCCATCTGTTGGGGTTGCTTTGATTGTGCTATTTCTGTCTGATGACAGAAGGAGTTTAGACTGGATGGTCCTTGGGATTCCTTCCAACTCTAGGATTCTATTATTATTATTATTATTATTATTATTATTAGTAGTAGTAGTAGTAGTAGCAGCAGCAGCAGCAGCAGTATTAAGCAGAGGCTGGATTGTTGTCTGTCAGGAGGGCTTTGATTGTGCTTTTCCTTTATGGCAGAAGGGGGTTGGACTGGATAGCCCTTGGGGTCTCTTCCAACTCTGGAATTCTATTATTATTATTATGTTATTATTATTATTATTATTATTATTATTAAAGCAGAGGCTAGTTGGCCATCTATCAGGAGTACTTTGTGCTTTTCCTGCATGGCAGAAAGAAGGGGGTTCGGCTGGATGGCTCTTGGGGTTCCTTCCAACTCGAAGACTCTATTATTCTATGAGTCGATGATTTATTTGTTCAGAGAGATCCCCAATCTGGAGCCAAGTGCTCCTCCTCCCCTGACCAAGACTGGGGTTCCTGGACTTCAAACTACAAGAGAGGAGATTCCATCTGAACACGAGGAAGAACTTCCTGACTGTGAAAGCCGTTCAGCAGTGGAACTCTCTGCCCCGGAGTGTGGTGGAGGCTCCTTCTTTGGAGGCTTTTAAACAGGGGCTGGATGGCCATCTGTCAGGGGTGATTTGAATGCAATATTCCTGCTTCTTGGCAGAATGGGGTTGGACTGGATGGCCCATGAGGTCTCTTCCAACTCTTTGATTCTATGATTCTATGATTCTATGATTTGTTTCCTTACCTTCTTCTTCGATGGGCGAGGGTTGGTGCCAGCCTTGGAGACGTCCACCCACTTGACGGTCTGCTGGCGGTCATCCCAGTCAGGCACCTGGTCCGCTGGCTGCGGGAAGGCGATCCTGGAAACCTTGCACTTGAGCAACTGGTCATTTATGCTGACCGGAGCTTTGGCCTTAAAGGTCAGGATGGTGTTCTTTGAGCAACCTGCGTGGAGGTGGCCCACCTGCGGGGAAGGAAGGAAGGAGCACCAATTTTCTTAAATTGACCCAATGGAGAAAGGCTATCACAAATCTTGTGTGGAATGGGAAAAAGCCAACTATCATGCCAAAAGTGCATACTGATGAGGATGAGACCAACAGGCATCTTAACATGCAAACTGCAAAAGAGCCTGTATGGTTTGAAATAGGCAGCCAGAGCCTGGAATGAGCAACTGAACCCAATGCTAATTGAGAAGGGACTTTCACTAGGAATGGCTGACAGTTGCCTTTCTTCAATATGCAAGGACAACAAATGGATATCTATTTTAACTTATGTCAATGATCTGAATTTTTGTTATGAAGAACAACCTGATCTTAAGGAAATTCTTCAACATCTTAACAAGAGTTTTGACTGAACTCTTCTTGTCTATCTCTTGGCTCGTTATCTACTTGCTGAGCTCTGAAGATCACCTGGGAAGGAATCCCACTGGAGCATTGCAGCGCACCCAAATACCTGGGAGTCAC